GCCGGTACCGGGCCGCGGCATAAAAAAGGTTGGGGACCACTGATTTATAACATACCCTTTTACAAGTGTATCCTGCTTTCCTGATTCCCATGTTGACCATACCTGACTAGGCATGGCAGATCAAAACCAATTTCTCAATAACATCCTTGATTAGAAAGAGACACCTCTGATCTTAAAAGCAGTAATACTTTGACAAAAGCAAAAATCACCGGACGTTTTCCTCTCCTTTCACTTGAGTAGGGAATGCACAATTTATTTCTACACATTAAGCTCATATACACTTATTATATTACAGTTCTAAATCTCTTTTTTGGGAACAGGATTATGAATTAGACTTTTGCAATATGCATTTAGATTTCCCCCCAATTCTCATTTGTTGGTGCTGCTGTTGGTTTCCTTTTCTCTATGCTTGCTTGTTCCATAGGCTATGCTTGCATGATGATATCATTCATAGTAGGCACGTATTATAATACGATTATTGCCTGGGTGTTGTGGTACCTGGGAAACTCTTTCAAAGAACCCTTGCCTTGGAGCATCTGCCTGAATGAGGCCAGCAAAATGGGTGGGTGTATTTTCTGTATATTTTAATTGTTTCCATTCATTAGCAGCTGAGACATGTTACATGTATCCTTGACATCAAATCCCATAACTTGCCATATCTGAAGGAGTCCTGCACTTGTCCTCTCTTGTCTTGTACTGGCACAGCTGTATAGACCAGGGTTCACCAACCGTTTGCACCTCAAGGGCCACCAAACTCGTAATTTCAAATCCTGCGGGTCACTAATATGAATTTTGACTGACGGTGGCTTGCTGATGTTGGAAGGAAAGTTGGTCCCATATTCCAGAGCTGCAGTAGTCACAGGACTGGCCCTTTGATCATCCTGGAGCAGCTTCTCCCGTCCATGGCAGGCTGGTGCACCCGGGTGGAGGAGAAGCTGCTCCGGGATGACCAAAGGGCCAGTCTTGTGACTACCGCAGCTCTGGAATATGGGACCGATTTTCCCACCAACATCAGCAAGCCACCCTGGGGCAGATTTCCCTCCCCTGCCATTGGTCTTACCTTCCAGTTCCAGCTCACATGGCTCTACTCAAGGTAAGGTTTGCGCTCAGCTGAAGGGTGGGGGCAAGCGGGTGGGAGGGGCCATGTGGGCAGTGCAGCCTTGTGTTCCCACACAGCCTGGATTAATTGCTTTGGGGGGAGTGTTTTGGGGGGACACCCAAAACCACTGGTATAGACAAATCCTATCACCATTGCCTCACTCCATAATGAAAACAAATTCTTACTAGAGCGTATAAGAGAAAGCACATGTCGATGAGGGAGAGGTGGTGTTGGGGAGCAGACTGTGTCTTGGATAAGTTTAAAAAAGGGGGGGGATGACTCCTGATAACAACAGTTTGTGTACAGTGTGTGATTAGCTTAATCAAATGTACATAATTTTGCCTAATAGCTATGATTATTCGCTACATAGTTTGCTGACTCTGTAGCATTAGTACCCAGCAGAGTACGCTGATCAATGTAATCAGCAATATTTCCTTGGTGCCTGCTGGGCTGTCCGCGTGTCCCACTTGATTTAAAAATTAAATTGAATGAGAAATTAAAGCAGCAAGTTAGCAAACAGCAGCAAAAAGCTTCCCGCATTTTTCTATTACTCCCAAATGCTTTTAGATCCATCATAAACCACAGAGGATATTTTGAAAGTTAAAATGGTACCCACCACCTACAGTTTGTTTAGAATTGAGCCTGGCTTCCCAGAAAAAAAAAAGAAAAAAGAAAAGCAGGGTGGTTTTTTTGGTAAAGTCAAAAAGGGCAAGATGATTATGCAAACAAAGCCCTAGCCTTTTTTGGGGTGTGTATTGTGATGCACATAAAGAGGGACAGGATTTCAATCACATGTTGTAGCTGCTCTCCTGACTTTTTTTTATACCTTTCCTGTGGACACTCTTGGATCAAGTTGGTAGGTAGGGAGGCAATTTTTGGTAATTGGTCTTTTGCCAAATTGGTATTTTGAGTCCACTTTGGGGCAGCCATCTTTTAAGAATATGACTAAGTGATAAGATCTCAAAATTTGGCAAGTCTGTCCACTATCTGAAAAGCTCAAGGACTCCTAATGCAGACTTCCAACCAAGGCCTCAGATCCTCAACAAATGTCATTTATCACTCAAAAGAAAATGGTAGCTCAAAGACTTCAGTTTTTCTTCATGTTCTGTCACAATTGACTTTAAATAGCTTTTCTCTGCACACTTTATGGATGGCTCTTGTCTTGCCTATGTAGAACAAGGAAAAAATGCTGATCAGAGGTAGTAAAGACTTTGCCTTTATAGAAATTGATGGAGTGGTACAATTCACCATAGCCAACTCACCCTGACCATCTCATCCTGGCCAATTCACTGCAGCTAGCTCAACTAACTTGCTGTGCGACAATTCAGCACAGGATAACTCAACAGAGGACAAGTGAATTGCAGCAGGCCTTGTCTGGCTTTAGGTTTGAATTTTGTCAAGTAAGAAATCCTCAAGGCTTGGGTGAGCCAGAGTGTAGAGCCTTAGCGGACTGTTGGCCAAGCTTTGGATCAAGCACAGCATGCCTGGGTAGTCCTTGTATGGATCCAGACTGAGGGAGCAGTGCATCCACAAGAGGAAGCCCGCCATTGCCACTTCTTCCTGGCATGTCTGCTGAGATGGCCAGCTGCTCTGCTGACATCCTTGTACTCCTTATGATGGAGCAAACAACCCAGTCCCAGGAATCCCCAAGGTATCCTTCCTTGACTGGCTGGGAAAATACCACTGGACCAATTAGGAATTTTTTTCTGGCGAGTAAATAGCCTGGCAGAAATCTGTAACCCCTTTTAAAACGAAGCCATTGAAGAGCCTTGAGCTCACCACTTCCCCTTCTAGCCCTGTGTATTTGGTGACCCTAGAGGTGAAGGAGCGGTACCCGAATGTCAGCAGAGTGGCTGGCCCTCACAGCAGGCGTCCCAGAAAGAAGCAGCAGTTGCAGGCCTCCTCATGCAGATTCAATGTGCCCTCAGCCTGGATCCATGCAGAGGCTACCCAGGCATGCCAAGCTTGTTCACAGCTTGGCTGATGGGCTGCCAAGACTCCATGCTCTGGCTGACTCCAGCCTCAGCGATTTCTAACTTGAGAAGGTTCAAATGTAAGGTAAGACTATGATTTAATTAGAGTGATTGCTGGAATTCTGACAACTAGGCCTGATGCAATTCACTTGTCCTCTCTTGAGTTATCCCCCGTTGAATTGTCCCATGGCAAGTTGTCCCATAGCGAAGTAGCTGCAGAAGTTGTCTTGTGGCAAGTTGGCCGAGGTGAGTTGGTTGGGGCAAGTTGTCTTAGATCCATAAAATCGAGCATCCTAGATACCATCCTAGAACAGAAATAGAAATAGGGTCATAGTTGAGGTGTCCCACAATGCACAATGAATTATTTTTTGCTCTTACTGTTTCCTTTGGTACACATCACATCGTCCAAGCCCTAAAAGGATAGTTTTCATACAGATCCAGCTGAAGAAGACATCAAATTATTTCTTTAAGCCGACTTCTTTATATTCATATTCAGGTGAGAGATCTTTTACAGCCCCATCTACTCTAAGGAAGGTTTAAAGAGCCATATATTCCAATTTGTTCCAAAATTAAAGTGGATAGCATCCCCCTGCACTCATGCAACCTGTAACAAGGGCATCATTTGCATACATCTCCACATACCTCAGTAAATAATGGCTGTTTTGCATTTTAGCTCATGTGTAAATCTCCCTAGATTAAAAGTGTTTTATTCTCAGGTAGGAATGCATAAGATTATAGCTTCTCTAGAGATAATTAAGCTATACATTTGCCACATTGGTAATACGGTGGTAAATGTGTCCTTTTGCTTCCTTGGCATCTACAAAGTCACTGATTGAAGCACGTTTTATGAGAGATTTGAGATAAATTGATGTTCTCACAGGTCACTTTTCTATATGTCTTTTGACCTGTGAATTGAAGTATGTTTATTTCCAGATCAGAAGAATGCACCCGTAGACAAAACTGAGCAGTAGGCATGGAATCCTACAGTACTGATTGTCTCTGCAATGTTGCAGAAGATTATAAAGGAAGACAAAGATTCATGCCCATGTTTTTTTTGTCAATTAAATAGAATCTATGAACAAAATATCAAATGTATTTATAATTTGAGCCTAATTGCAACCATCCAGTCTGCTTCGCTTCCTAAGGTCTATATGGGCAATATTCACTTTCTTAAACCTGTTCTTTTTTTTTTTTTAATAAAAAGTTTTTTATTTTTATAACAACAACAAAAACAAACAAATAAAACCTTTCTGTTCAACAGTGTGTCAGTTGGGTACATATCTCTTTGTACGCATAATAACATTATCATACATATATTAGTTATATATGTTTATAATCATTCTAATCAATATTTTATATCACTTATTATATTATCCTTAACATTATAATTATTGATTTTCAATTATATATTCTGTATTCATTTTCTTGCTCTAACTCATCCGTTTATCAGTAATGATATACTATAGTTACATATTTCAATTTCTTACTCTTCTATCCAGGCATTCATAAAATAATTTCCAAATTTTGTAATAATCTTTTTCTTCTTGTTCTCTAATTGCCATTGTCAATCTACTCATTTCTGCACATTCCATTATTTTCTTAATTATTTTTTCATCCATCGGAATTTTCTCATTTTTCCAATTTTGTGCAAATACAATCCTAGCTGCTGTTAATACATTGATAATCAAATACGTTAATTCTTTATTGTAACTCTCAGGCAAAATTCCCAATAAAAATGTCTCTGGTTTTAAGTCTATAGTCTGTTTTATCATTTTCTTCAGCCACATGTGTATTCTAGTCCAGGGATCCCCAACCTTTTCGACGCCGCGGCCCGGTTCCGGCGTCAGCTGGGCGCCACGGCCCGGTTCCGGCGTCAGCTGGGTGCCGCCATCTTTTTTTGACGAAAAATCACTTCCGGTGACGTCACCGGAAGTGATTTTTCATCAAAAAAAATGGCGGCGCCCAGCAACCAGCGGCCCGGTAAGGCTTGTTCCGCGGACCGGTACCGGTCCGCGGACCGGCGGTTGGGGACCCCTGTTCTAGTCCAATACTTTTTGGCTTCTGTGCATGTCCACCACCTATAGTAGTATGATCCTGGTGACTTCTGACATTTCCAGCACTTCGCCGACTTATCTTTAAACATCTTGGCAATTCTCGTTGGGGGTAGATGCCACCTTTAAAACATCTTATACAAATTCTCTTTATAGGCCGTTGACATAGTTAATTTATAGTTTCTAGACCATAATATCTGCCATTTATCCAAGTCTATTCCATATCCAAAGTTTTTCCCCCACACAATCATTTATTCTTTTACTTGTTCTTCCTCTAATTTCACTCCTAATAAATAAGCATGTAGTTTTTGATCAACTTCTTTTCCGTGCCTGTTAGGATTTTATCCAATTCAGTCAATTCCTTATAAAACCCAGCCATCTTAATGTCTTTTTCATACCTTGTATGTATTTGCAAATACAAATACTAATTTATATTTATCCCTTGTAACTCTAATTCTTGCTTTGTTTTGAGTTCACCCTTTTCATTTAAAATTTCTTCATATCTAATAATGTGTTCCTTTTTAAATAACTGTGGATATGTTAAACCTGTTCTTGATAAGAACTCGTACTACTTCAAAGGACATTCCAATAAGTTGTTTGATCCTTCCATTCACTTTATCCATTGTCTTTTACTTCCCTCAACCTTGCCAACCTAATAATTGTTTAGTCCATCATCCATTTGCATCACACATGCAAAGTACATGAGTTCTACTTGCTGACCATATTGAACAGTCAGCCTTCATTTGATCTAGGACTAGCTGATATGCTTCTCTTGTAGGCAGTGGCATCACTCTTAGCAACCATTTCTATATTGAGGGTGTTTATCTTCTTTGCCCCATTCTTTCTATATGTCCAGCTTTCACCACCACACATTATCCTTAGACAGACCATTGCTTAAGTATTCTGATTTTTGCTGTCATTGAAAAGTCATTCTCCTTCATAACCTTATTTAAATTTGTTATCCTCTTTCTCCCTAAGATTAGCCTCCTCCAGCACACTATCCATCTACTGTATGTCTATTAGTCTTGAGGCTAAGAAAACAAAACTTCACTTTTTTGAAATCATATATTCACTAAGGGTGCCTTTCTCCTTTTTCATCTTAACATTAATCTGGATTTCCCCCCTCACATTTTATTGCTATGATAATCTTAGCCCAATCATAAATGTTTATTCTGATCTCTCTTGTCCTTGTTCAAATAAATAATAAACTTTTAGATGCTAATAAAATAGCAAGCCATAAATTGCAGATGGGACTCATGGGAGACAATTGGCTAAGGTGGTTCATTTACCTTTATCAGTCTGCCTTTGTCCTACATTGGCTGTGAAATGATTATGATTCAAGCAACAAGAAAAAGATATATCCTTTCCTATATCAGTCATACTGTTGACAAAACAGGTTTGAAGTGCTGATGCACTGAAGAAGTTCTTTAGAATAGGGGGAAAAAGAAGAAACAATGCTAAAAGTACTTGTATCAAACTTTGAGGTAGACCAAGCTTGGAAACCAAAAGCTATGGATATTAAAACTACTTTTATTACAGAGTTACAGTAACAGAATCTTTCAAATCTTAAAATGCTCCCTCCCCCCACCAGCCTTTATCTACAAAAAAAAAAAAAAAAAAAAAAACCCACAGGGAAAGTCAAGTTTGAGATGTTTCCTCAAACTAGATTTAAATAAATAAATCTGGACTCAGATTTCTCTTACCTGTTTCTTTGTTGCATCTCTTTCTCAAGATCATTCTCACATCCCATTATTGTGCCTGTCTGGGTTTTGAGATTTGCCATTTGATCACTGGAAAACATGTTTGTCACAGGAAATATGCGATAGTACTTAGGAAGTTATGATAAAATGCAGCTCCAACATCTTTAAAAACAGCAACACTAGTTCTAATAACAAGAAGTGAACTGCATTGTAGAAAAGAATGCTGGAGAGAGGTTCTGCTTGGCATGAGACTAATGAGGGTTTACAAAACATCATGAATTCAAACCATTTGAAGGGAAGCAGTTGCTTTTAATTACACATGGTTTCTTTTGACCATTTTGGTTTCGGAGCTTGAAACAGTATTTTAAGCATGGCACACATTTCCAAGATGATAGAAACAGCCTGTTGTAAATGTGAAACTTGTTTTTGAGGACCGGTAATGGGACATTTTGAATTCAAAACGTCACTTTCAAATGTTTCTAATTCTAAATGTTTCATTCACATTACTTAGTTGTTGCTGTTGGCATGCTGTGTATAATTAATATGTGACTAATATTATATATATATGTGGTGTAACCTTATAACTAATATGTAGGGAATTTAGTTAACTTAACTCTTCTTAACTTAGAGGAGGCATTCAAAAATATGAAGTATTATCTTCTGTCTGCATTGAAAAAAACTTTAAGCACTTTTTCTTTGAATTCATGAAACAGTGTGAATGATTAGTACCTCTAAGACACTGTTTCATGTGTCTCTTATTTTAGACCTCATCAAAGAATGTGATCATAGCTCTGAATCCAATTACTTTTGGTACAGGTACACACTGAACATCAGCACGGACATCACACAGACTGGCCCTGTTCTTTGGTGGTTGGTTGTATCTTTGGCCAGTTCCTGGATCATTGTGTACCTCTGTACAGTTCAAGGAATTGAATCAACTGGAAAGGTGAGGAGTGTCTTTTCCCCGGATAGTTTTTGATTAGCCAACCAGCCAAATACTAACTGATCCTGACCCTGCATAAGTTCTTTCTCAGGCATGGTCAGTCACATACCCCAATTCATCCACTGCAATAATTATATAGGGATGTAACTTCCCCCAGAAGGGAAGGGGGAAATGGTAGATCCCCTGCAGCCCATGTTAATTGCCCCAGCATTCCATTTATTGGTACACAGCACTTCATTATTTTGTTGTTAAAAAATTCAGTGGGACATCATCCAGATTTTGGCAGTTTGATCTGTGTGTTGGCAGAAAGTTGGTCCACAGTGTGAATAACATGGCTGGACTGGACTGTGATGGGAACATTAACTAGGACATTTATAATGATGATCCATTTGAATGATTTCCTTCTGCTTTTCCTCTCTTTGCAGGCAATTTATATTTCAATCTCTTTTCTATATGTAACTTTAACTGCATTCCTTATTTATGCACTGACTCTCCCAGGAGCTATTCAAGGGCTATTTTATCTCTTCACTCCTGATGCAAGTATATTCCAATTTCCCATTGAATTTCTAGCTATTTTTAAGAGTTTATTTTATTGAGCCTGATCTAAACTTCTAGTTCTCTAACCATTGCATTCAGTTTCAGAAAAGAGTTATTCATAATTTTTACCCACTGAAGCTGCTAGAAGCCATGCATAGAGGGGTGGGAAGTATTTGTGGGGTAGTCAGAAACTCTGACACCTACACGGAGCTCTAGGAATGTGATCCTATGTATCTCAGACAACATCTATAAGTGCTGAATTATGTAATCAATTTTGTAATTTCTTTGCTTATTATACTTTATTTAGAGAATCTGGGAATTTATTAGTGTTACTAACATTAACTAATGGTTAACTAGGCACATGGATTGGAAGTAGCACTTAACAGTGAGTGATGCTCTAGATATTGTTGAATTCAAGGCCTCATTGATCACAACTGGTATGATCAATCATCAGAAGTAATAGAAAGCATAATCCAACAGCCTATGCAGAGCCATAATTTCACACTCCAGCATCAGATTTTATATGAGTTCTACAACAACCTGTTACCTACCTTTATAACTCTTCATTTAGTCATTTGCTTCCTAGTTGTGCACCAGATCCCTAATATCATTAGGAAAGTTGTAATTATTTTTTTCAACTGCTGTTACCTTACAGAAGAATTAGTCCTTTAATTCTAAGGATTTCACCAATTTACACCTTAACAGTGTTAGAAAGAGAGAGACCTACACCTACATATACTATATACAGTGTATATAGAACATTTAATACGCATGCTTTTACTAAATTTATTCATAAATAAGTTGTATAAACTAATATTTAAGGTTTTACTTTTATAAGTATCTTTAAATTGGGGGTGTTGTATTTATAGCATTATAGTAAACAATTTCTTTTCTTGATTTTAGAAACATTTGTGATTTTAACTTTAATCTTGTAATCTCTTATAATTGCACAAAATGCTGGTCAGGGACATAACATAAAGATGACAGCTTGTTTAATCCACCAAATAACGACAAGCTAAAGCATACAAAGTGCGTAAAATGCAACAAAGAGGGCTTTTTTATTTCAGATTTATCAATAGCAGTTTTGGTTGGGTTTGTCATGCTGTGTGTTGCTGAAATGCAAGAGAGACATGTTGGCTAATTGAAGGCAAGTTATCTCTGTCCAAATAAGACTGGAGCTGGTAGATCAGCGGGCCGAATGTGTCACGTGCTGGCCCCGCCCTTGCCCAGTTTAGCAAAGGGGGGAAAGTCCCGATACGTCACATGACGCTGCCGTGATGCCTTGTCTTTGATATCCCTGAGCTAAGGTGATACTAGAGTCTATTAAAAAGGTGTCTTGCCAGTTTACCTTCTGGTTAATGTGGCTGATATAACTCACCTTCCTCCTCTTCTTCCTCTAAATAATTTCCTGTCATTTTGTCTCTCTTAACCTGTTGTAAAACCCCTTTCTGTTTACTAATCTAGATTACATTGACTAGGATTTCTAACCCAATGTATCAGACTTTCATGGAATAAATAAATTGGATATTGCTTAGTTGGGCAAATGTCCTCTACCTTGTCAAGACTACTTTTTAATCCTAATTCTATTCACTGGACAATAAAGATTTTGTTTCCTGGACACTTTTGGACATATCTTATAGGTTTTTGCCTGGTAATTGTGAAAATAACCTCTAATTTAACCTATCACGTACTATTTTAAAGAAATCTTTACAGGATGTTTTTACATGATGACAATGTATACTCCTCAGTACCTGTTGCCAATGCTGCACACATGAAAGAAACAACCAAAAACATATAACTGTTGTTAAAGCACATTGTTCTGACCCAAACCCTTTTCCAATAAAACAAACACAAACTAAAGGGAACAGAAACTTTTTAATGATTCTTATGAATCCCCACTTAAAAGGCTGCTGCAAACTAATTAACTTTGATAAACACAAGCCTCACCAAAACTGTGTGAGGCTGCCAAGAATCACAGATAGAAATATTTCAGAACATAAGAGTCTTCAAATACCAACTAAGATTCTGCAATGTCCACGAGGCTGGAGTTTCAAAACATTTTTGCTTCCTACAAAGAACGTCTGATTCACAGCTGGCTTTTATCTTCTTGAAGGAGGGACCATTACCTTGCAGACTTACTCCAGAATCACCCATGCTGCTGCAGCTGTTCTTTCCTACGAGCAGTCCTGCGCGCACACATACACTTGGCACAGGCTCCTTGGGAACCTCCTCATCGTGGCTGCCAGCCCCCACTATCTCTGAAGGCAGCAGTCCACTCCCTAATGGTCCTGGCCCCTCATCTGAGTCTTTGCTCTCCTCAGCCATCCGTACCTGCTGCCGGCTAACCAAAACACACATCCAGGACATCAAGTACAACTGGCATATCAGTGGAGATCTAAAGTGGCTGTGCTGCTTGGAATGCAGCTCAGATAGACCACGTACTTGGTTGTTACATAAGCGAATGGGACAGCCATGCTAGAGTCACATTACATTAAGAAGAATTGGCCACTCCAAAAGAATTGGTTCCAGAGCACAAATGTGGCACATGAACCATTTCTTGACCAAACAAAGATATTTTTGCCTCCGCTTCACATGAAACTTGGACTATGAAAAATTAATTTTCAGCATTCTTTTCTGGAAATATTCAGCTAAATGGAACTATTATAAAATTAAATATAATCAGATTTCCTTCCTTCCTTCCTTCCTTCCTTCCTTCCTTCCTTCCTTCCTTCCTTCCTTCCTTCCTTCCTTCCTTCCTTCCTTCTGTGTGAAACCTTTTTAAACTGTGTGTGCCTGGAACAGGAAGCAATCATTATACTTCCCAGGATTTAAAATATACAGCCCAAAACTGTGTTTTTTATGGAGAGTGGGGTTAGTGGGCAGTATTCATATCTAATTACTGTATTGAGTGTTTAATTTTTTTTCACAAGTACTGTTATCAACTTCTATTATTTTAATTCTCTTATTTCTATTTTTATTTATTCTGTCTTTTATTTCTGTTTCCTAAGTAAAGAAAGTTTTGCATGTGTCTCTTTTATGCTGCTTCTGCTATTTTTACCCTTATTTTTTTTTAAAAAATTCCTATAATACATGGGTTCTCATTTCAGTAATGGTTTGCTGCTGCCTCCTTCCTAGGTCTGAGAGGGTGTGACTGGCCAAAGGTATCCTGCTAGCTTTGCGCCTGAGGCGGGAGTAAAACTCAAAAGCTCCTGATTTCTAGTCTGATATCTTAAATACATCAAACTGGTTCCCATATGGGTCTGCCTATATATCTGTTTTGTATAGACACAGACACACACATACATATACACACAGAGAAACTCTCCCTTGTGTGTTTAGGTAGAAGCTTTTGGTAAGCTAATATTCATTTTGTTAGTATTAATAAATTATCTTCAGTCTGAAGAACCCCAATTGGGGTATCTTAGTATCATAACAACAAAAAAAGCAGCCTCTAAATTATCTTACAGGATTAGGGCCATGTGGGTGAGCATGTACTTACCCAGCCAACTGATTACCATGTTTCTCAAATAATAAGGCCAGGTCTTATTTTTTTTTGAGCCCCGAAAAAATGGCTAGGTCATCTTTTCGGGGGTGACTTAATTTCCCCCCCCTTGCATCTTCGGGCGGGCGGACAGCGACAGCTTGGATGTTGACCTCGGCATTGGTGGGGCACTTCGTATCGGGGTCAACGCAGGCAGCACCATATCCGGGTGTGCAACAAAAGTACTTCCTAATGGCAAGTCCCCCCACCATTCCCCCCCATTTCGCATGTTTAATATAGGCCTTAATTTGGGGGGGAGGGGCTTAATTTTATTTCATGCCTATAAAACATGCTGGGACTTCCTATTAGGGGAGGCCGTATTGATGGAGAAACAGGGTAGTTTTATCTCAAGTTTGGTTAACTGGAAGGCAGAACATTTTTCCTCTAGGCTATAGTATTTGGCTATAGAGAATCATAGTTTTTCCCTTTCTTTAGATATGATGCAACTGCTTTCAGGGATAAAGAGGGCAAGAACAGCCAGGCTAGTTTCTAAGGCAAATAAGAGTTGTATAAGAAATTGCCCACTGCCTTGCATTCACTTTTATAAGGATAAATTACACAATGTATAGCAAGATAAATAAGATTTGTGTACATTGTGATGTCTGCCCTTATTGCTGAGCAAAGTACATCACTAAGTGAAATCAGTAGCAGAAACTCTCATCTATGTTTAACCAACTATATTCCTGTCCTTAAATATTCAGGATAAATCTGGAGAGACAGGAGACGGGTAGGATCTGGGGAATTAGCAATTTCCATGCAAGTGAGAAGCAAGTTTGACATCTGGTATTATCCATGTGGAAAACTTGGGAATATTTAACTGGTTGAGTCATAATTGCTCTCTTTTTGCATTTTCATTCACACACAACTACTAAACTTTGTCTTCATTAGGTATAATATGCTTTGCCTCCGTTTTGTTGGGTCTCCTTTTTACTACACGATCAGGAAGCTACTGGATTGAAGTGTTTGATAACTATGGAGGAAGCATACCATTGCTGATCATTTCTTTATTTGAACTGTACGGCGTTGTATATGTTTATGGACTGAAAAGGTAACGAGGTTCTTGTATGTCTACTTAGTAAGTTCTTCAACTGAGACAATGTGGAATGTAAGAGTGTGAAGACCTCAGCCAGAGAACTTCACTGGGTCATCCTCTCTCAGCTCAACCAACTTTAAAGGAATTTTAAGGAAAGTAAGAGCAAGAAACATTTTACCTTGAGTTCCTAAATGAAAGGCAGGGTAAACATCTAGTAAATAAGTATTTAACAAAAGCATTCTGCTAGGATTATACTTGTTTTAATTGAATAAACTTTTATTGTATTCAGAGGTCTGTATACATGATCTTGGTGAAGTTCAGATCCTGGCATATGGTAAATCATCATTGGCATCATGTCCTTAGGCAAAGGAAAGGCTTAAGAATAGATGGCTCTCTTATGATTAGTTAGAGAATGGAAGCATTTGAAGTAAAGGTGTTGCCTTGCAACCACCTAGTGCAATGTACTGTTCATCACTTTAATAAAGCAAAACATTTTCACACTTACAGTGAATTAAGACCCCAGCTTTTCATTCTAGCAATTCTGTCTGTTCCTTAATCAATAGACTTTAGTCAAGAAGTGACATCATCAAAAGTTCAAGGCAGACAACTCCAGCCAGTAGGGAGTAATATTTTAAGTTCCCTTTGTCTATAGCAGGGGTATCAAACTGGTGGCTGTGGGCCAGATGCATCATATGCAGGCCCACAGCCACCCCAGCTCCACAAAGGGGGGAAACGTCATGAAATGTCATGAAATATCACATGACGGCAATGTGACACTATGAGTTTGACACCCATGGTCTATAGTCTTCTCTAAAATAATGCTCTAAGCAGCATTTCCCTTATTTGTATTATATGCAACATGATTCCTCTAAGAGAAGACAAGTTTCTCCAATTAAATAACATTAGTTTTGAAGTTTTGTGTCTAACCTGCAATACAACTGAATTTAAATTCATGCGGGTCATCGTCTGAAGTTAGGGCTATGAAGCTTTTAAAATATATACACACATGCACACTTCTTTTTACATATCTATATCTACTTGTAGGAAAATATGGCGTGAGCACCCAATCTTTGTAAAATGCATCACTCTATTCATTGCTAGGATTCTTGAGAAGTGGTTCCCACCTTCCCATCAGCCATTGATTAAAAAAGCAAGTCTGCCATTAAGATTCGGTTGTTCAGCCTTCACCTTTGTATAAAATGATTTCCATCAAGATATCTTGAAACTAAAATACTTGGGGGTATAATCCAAGACTAGCTTTGTGATGACATTGTAATAGGTGTCTAAAGACTACATTCCTCTTATTGCAAAATAAAGTGATTACTTAAAATTGCTATATTGCAAATTCAGATATTCCATTGTGAATTGAATTGTCAGTGACTATAAACCAATTTGGCCATAGGTTCTGTGATAACATGGAATGGATGACTGGAAGGCCAGTACATTTCTACTGGAAAGCATCCTGGCAGTTTATCAGCCCTCTGCTAATGCTTTCAATCCTTTTGAGCTATCTAGCTGTTCAGCGGCCATCAACCTACACTGCATGGAATCCAAGCCATGTATGTTAAATTTGTTACTTAATTTCTACCATTTATTTTTATGCAACAAAAATAAGGACTGAGTCAACACCATCGTATTGCATAAGCACCCCCCCCCCCCCATGAACAATACAGTGCTTAAAAATCAAATTTAATCAGCCAACTCAGATTTTAAAAAAAGTTAGCTCTAGATGAAAGGCTAACCAGTTACAAGATATGTATATCCAATTGGCAATACATTTCTTTTTTGCTATGTTGCTTTCATTATAGTTTATCTTCTAGAATTTTTAGGTAGGGTGGTTGTTTGTAAGCTGCTCGGAAATCATTATTATAGTCTGGAAGCAGATGAAGAAATAACATATAACAAAGATATGTGTCACATATTTGCCTTCCATTGGCTGGGGGCTGTGCTTATTTATATGGGATACCAGTTGAGAATGCCTTCTGTATATGGGCTAGGATAGCAAGTATGTGTGCATTTATCACATTAAAATAAGAGTAGCATACCTTCTACATTTGAAGAGCAAGTTGCCTCTTGCTATTCATTATTCCATGTCTTGGTAAAAACAGAGATGAAGAACAATATAAGTGAAGATCTCCTTGCAGGAAAAGTAAGGCTCATCCTTTGGAAGGATTGTCGACCTCTGCGTAGACCCTCGTGTACTCCTATTTTTTAATTTTATGTTTTTAGTTTTAATTTTATGCAATGTTATGTTTATCTCACAGGAAGGGTTTCCTTTGAAAGAGTCCAAATTTTATCCACACTCGGTTTTATTCATTGGTGCCTTGCTTGTGGTCCTACCATGCATATTGATTCCAACTGGAGCTATTTACCATTTTAAAGAAGTATTGCTGAAAAGGAAGAAGAAACAAGTCCTTCATCGATGTGAAAGCACCGAAGGTAACTGATGCTCTGGGATTCTATCAGTCAATTCCAGTGATCCATAGTAAACCAGAAGTTCAGATTATCCAGAGGGATAAAAAAAGTATTCTGGGGCAATCTATGAAAATTAAGAGTACACCTTGCCTCTATAAACTTCTGTAGAATTCTTAGGGAAAGTCATAAAAGTATTTCAAATAAATACCCTTTATACAGTATTAGATTCTGTAATGCTAATAGTTTTAAAGAAATTGTTTTAAACATTTCCCCATGTTTTTAACTGAGAAGACGATCAGAACCCTGGATTTACAAAAGAAAAAGTATAATAAAAACGATAGGGAAGAGAAAAATAATAATAATCAAGTAAACATATACACAGCCAATATACACAGCCAATTCTTAAAATGACCACTTGGATAGAAACGGATCAATGGCTGACAAGTTAACTTTTGTTATCTACTTTCTGGGCACGGCCAAATGATCTAGTGTGGTTTCATGTTCCCTTTTTGTGCTGCAGTTTGGGAGAATGGAAATACCCATCTTGTAAACTTCCCTTCTTGGTAAAATTAGAGTCTGAACCTTTGCCCAAACTATCTTCCCTATATTCAGGGAACATATCTATTATTTGTAGAAAGAAGAACATGAATTGGAACGGAATTTTAAATGGCAATCTAGCCAGACCTACAGTACATCAGTCACTTTGATGTGGATTATTTAGCCCTAGAAACTACTTGTTATGAAGAATGGTACAGTCAACACCAAAAAAGCTCTACAACTTCTTTAGCAGTTAGAATATAGACTAGACTAGACTAGACTAGAATTCTTTATTGGCCAAGTGTGATTGGACACACAAGGAATTTGTCTTGGTGTAAATACTCAGTATACATAAAGAAAAGGTACATGCATTAAGAATCAAGAATCATAACGTACAACACTTAATGATAGTCATAGGGTACAATCAAAAATTGATTAGCACGGGGAGAAGGGAAAGCAACGGTGGTGGAAGCTCTCCCGATACAAAGTGCCCCACCAACGCCGAAGTCAACATCCAAGCCGTCGCCGCCCACCCGATTCAAGGGGGGATTAAGTCACCCCCGAAAAGACGGCCTAGCTGTTTTTTGGGGGGGGGTCAAAAAAAAAATAAGGCCCGGCCTTATTTTGTGAGAAACACAGTAGTAGTGTACACTTTGTAAATAGTTTAACAGTGTTGAGGGAATTGTTTAGCAGAGTGATGACTTTCGGGGAAAAACTGTTCTTGTGTCTAGTTGTTCTGGTATGCAGTGTTCTACAGCGTCGTTTTGAGGGAAGGAGTTGAAAGTTTGTGTCTGGGATGTGAGGGGTCTGTAATATTTTCACAGCCCTCTTTTTGACTCGTGCAGTATACAGGTCCTCAATTGAAGGCAGGTGGGTAGTAATTGTTTTTTCTGCAGTCCTAATTATCCTCTGAAGTCTGTGTCTGTCCTGTTGGGTTGCAGAACCAAACCAGACAGTTATAGAGGTGCAGATGATACACTCAATAATATTCCTCTGTAGAACTGAATCAGCAGCTCCTTGGGCCGTTTGAGCTTTTTGAGTTGGCGCAGAAAGGACATTCTTTGTTGTGCTTTTTTGATGACGTTTTTGATGTTAGGTGTGCATTTTAGGTCATGTGATATCGTAGAACCTAGAAATTTGAAGGTCTCTAGCCTAGCAACGGAGCTTCCTATTATGTCAACAGCGTAGGAAGAAAGGGGATAATGGGTTTTCTGATGTAGCCTTAATGTCAGCAATAAAACTACAGCTGTATCTTGAATCTGTATGCTTGAGTGCCCAGCCTCGTCTCAGATTTATCTAGCATATTCCAGCAGGATGATTCATCAGAATTTAAGGGAAGCAACTTGATTTTGATACTGCTCATTATACCGTATAACATTTAGCATTATTCTAATCAGGCTTTAGAGCAGAGGTCTCTTGGCAACTTTAAGACTTGTGGACTTCAACTCCCAGAATTCTCCAGCCAGCTAGCTTTAGAGGATGGAATATAGTTTTTGACAACCATACATTTCATTTTAGGCATGGCATCAGAAGAGACAGGTGGCTCACCCCACTTAGATTACATTAATTTTCTTCTATTAAAAAAAAAAAAAAAAACACCAGTTCCAATGAGATACATTTTTTTTATTATTTTGTGAAAAACATACTTTCTGACGATGTAAAAACTGTTGCCTAAATTGTCTTACTCTCTCAGCAATCCACAAAATTAAGCCTACATCCTTCCGGGCCAAACAGTTGTGCTATAATATCATACAATGTTTTTGCTTTGAACTACTTATCAAGAACACGCATTCTGGGCTCTCTTTCCAAAGGATGGGGCATATATTTCACAGTTCACACTGCAAGTTTCACTAGAAGGCAAAGCTTTCAAAAACAAACAAACTTGTTACACATTCCAGCTCCTTGGTAGAAAACAAAAATTCAAGTGGGCAGAGAAATTAAGCAAGTGGAAGGCAAACTTGAAGAAGAATGTTACTTTATAGAGCTAATCCAAGATGACTTTGAAATCTTCACATACTGACGGCTGTATTACTTCACTAAGCAGCTGCATGGTAGTTTCAGGAATTTGCCGAGTCAACTGTAATTTACCTACAAAGAAAGAGTAACCAATTACTTCTTTAGTAAGGCCAACAAGTTATTCTGAACAGATGTTCCAGATCATCAAGTACTTGGCTTTAGAGAAAAGCAGGCAGCAAAGCCCTGAAAAAGTCCTATACAGGTAGTCCTCCACTTATAACAGTTCATTTAGTGATGTTCAAAGTTACAACAGCACTGAAAAAAGGTGATTTATGATCGTTTTTCACACTTACGACCTTTGCACCATCCCCATGGTCACATGATCAACATTCAGATGCTTGGCAAGTGATTCATATTTATGACGGTTGCAGTGTCCCGGGGTCATGTGATCAGCTTTTGTGACCTTCTGACCAGCAAGTCAATGAGAAAGCCAGATTCACTTAACAACCATGTTACTAATTTAATAAATGTAATGATTAGCTTAACTGTGGCAAGAAAAGTTGTAAAATGGGACAAATTCACTCAGCCAATGTTTCACTTAGCAACAAAATTTTGGGCTCAGTTGCGGTTGTAACCAGAAGACTACCTGTAGTCATCTTCCTTCTGTAAGGTTAATGATTGATATATTTAGAAATAATTTGTTTAAATATTTCATTTAAAAAAATAATGAATTAGATCACAAAAATTGCCAATTCACATGGCTCAACTCTGCTAAGAATAATCAATTCATTCATTCACCCATGCATTCATTCTGTTGTTGTTACGCTTAGCATTTGTCTCGCTTGGTTGCAAAGTCCATTTGATTTGCATTGTGTTTGCTTCAGTTCACATAATGAAACTATCAATGCATGATGTGCTAAATTTGGGTTTTCAGCCAGTTTGTTCAAGAAGCTGATTTGGGCTGTTACATGTGTGTGTGTATAAATGAAAGGATTGCTAAATTTTGGTTATGTGACACCAAATTATTGTTAATTCTTAGTGACCGAATAGATAAATTATCTCCATGATGATCTTTGCCTAACTTGCTCATTTCAGGTCTTCCAAAGCTCTACCCACTGCTGTAACTGAGTCATACCTGTCTTCTGATCGTCGTCTTCTTCTCTTTCCTTCTACCTTTCCCAGCATGACAACCTTCTCCAGAGAGCTAGATCTTTGCAGGATAATTTGAGTCTGGTCACTCGAATTAGAACTCATTTTTTATGATCTATATTACTTTCCACAGTATTCTCAGGAGATTTCTTTAATAACCACAGTTCAAAAATCTTTTCAAAGTCAATCTTTATTTTCCATTGGGTGACACATGGAATGTCATCGCTTACACAATTCTGATCTTTGTAGGTATACATATGGTAGTTCTTGACTAATGAACACAACTGAGTATGAAATTTTGGGTTTAAATTGTTGCAGTTTTACAATGTTGCTAAGCAAATCACTGTGGTTAAGGGAATCACTTGCTCACTAAGTGAATTGCTCAGTGAATAACTTAGCGATTCACTAAGTTAGTTATTACCTGTATAACTGAATGGCTTGACTCCAAATGTTGTGGATGCTGCATCACTAGAGGTTTTTAAGAAGAACTTGTATAGCCATTTGACCATAATGGTATAGGGTTTCCCTCTTGAGTAGGTGGTTAGAAGACTTCCAAGGACCCTTCCAACATTGTTCCTAAGTCTAATGGGTCTTTTTTGCTCAAAAATGACAGAGCCACTTGACAAAATCAAATGACTATGGATTTTGCAACTGCTCATAAATCTAATCTAGTTGACAAGAGCCCAAAATGCAACAACTGGACTGCAGGGGTGGTGCAGCAGTCGTAATTTTTGAGGATGAATGTAAGAAACTTTGTTCAAGTCTATCATAACTTTGAACAGTCATTTTGCAACTGGCTGTAAGTCAAGGACTATCAGTATAGATACATCACAGCACGTGAAGATCTTTTCCAAGATCTTCATGGCTGCTTTACCAAGTGCTAGTTTATGGCATATTTCTTGACTGCTTGTTCCGTTATAGTTCATTACTGATCCTAAAAGGCAGAAGATATCCACCACCTTGATATCTTTATTGCCAATTCTAAAGCATGCTTGGATGTTGACCTCAGCGTTGGTGGGACACTTCGTATCGGGAAACCTTCTGCCACCGTTGCTTTCCCTTCTCCCCGTGCTGCCGCGGAGTTTAGAGCAATGCCGCGGTGTTTGGCGCAGCCATGCACGGCCAGCCAGGGCTCCTCCCTGCAACCGGAGCCCGGCGGAGACACTCGGCTTCAGGCGCTCCTGTCGCCGCCTTCCCTTCACCTTCGAAGGCAAAGCCAATTCTTTTAAAAACGATGCCCTACTACCGGTATGACAAAGACTCCCCTGCCTGAGAGGGCAGCCCAACCCCACGTGGGGAGGCGAATCTCCCAGGGTCTCAGCGCAGGATCGGCCCACCCCGGGAGAAGTGCCCAGCCGCCATCACTGCCTGGCGCTGGGCAGAGTGCGAAGAGCTTCGCCTGGGG